AGCTCCCACTGTGGCACCTGTCACCGCTGCCTCGGATGCAGTTGTCGCCTCCATCTTCTCGGCCACCGCTGCCACCTCAGCGGCCAGCAAGTCAGCGACCAGTAACGTCTTCGTTCTATGCCTGGATGGGGAGGGATGGGCCATCGGTTTCGCTGCCTGGCAGGAGACAGTTCTCCCGCAGCTCACGTGTCATCGCATCGACGACGAGTCCCCGGACGCCCACGTCACTGGTGAGCTCCCTGCCGTCCACCGCCCAGGCGCTTTTGCTGCTGACGAGACGTCAACGCAGCAGGCATTGTACGCAGCTATTCGTAGTGCCTACTCCATCTGGGTGTCCCGCAATGCCACTGCTCGTGTCGCCATCCTCAGGTGCCTGCTGGTTGATGAGCACTCTCACTTTGTGGGTGCTGCGTCAACCCGCGCCCTCTGGACGGCTATCCTTGCTAGGTACTCTACCCTGTCGTCTGCCACTCTTATTCGTCTCCTCCTACCTTTCTTCCACCCCGACCTAACTTCCTTCAACACTATAGCAGACTTTGTCGAGCACCTGCGCTCCCTCGAGGCCCGCTGGTGTGCGGCCTTCCCTGGCCGTGAGAGACATGCAGCTTGCACAAACACAGCCACCGGTTTCCACCTAGCCACTTTAAAGCGTCACCCAGTGTCAGGTCTCTTCAAACTGCACAATGAGTCCTCGCCGGCTGCTGCATTTGCTAAGGTTGCCGCGTCGTGCTCCTGTGGCTCCCTCGCCCACTCGACCCTATTGTGGCACCACCGCTTAGGTCACCCTTCACTCCAGCGTCTTAGGCATATATCCCAACACGGTCTAGTTACTGATCTCCCTGTGTCGCTCCCGCCTTGCCTGTGTCGGTCGTGCCACTGTGCACCTCCTGCGTCAATGGCCGGCAGCGCGCCGCCCCCCACTCCTCCTCGTTTTCTCCTACCACAGCTGCTATAGACATTGGGCATGGACGTCTGGGGCCCTGCCCCGGTCCATGGTCTTATTCGGAACGCTACTTCCTAGTCCTCGTTGATGACTTATCGCGGTTCACTACAGTGTTTCCGTTGGAGTGGAAGGCCGACGTGCCTGCTGTGCTCCTTCCGTGGCTACTTGCTGTTCGCGTCCAGCACCGTCTGCCATAGTTTGCTTGCACTCTGACAGTGGTGGAATGTTTGCCTCTGGCACTCTAGGACAGTTATGTCGTACGGAGGGCATCCGCTAGTCGTACGCACTGCCAGACTCCCCACAGCAGAATGGGGTCGCTGAGCGACGCATCGGCCTGATCATGGAGGTAGCTCGCACCCCATTTTCAATGGCCATTCGCTATGCGCTACGCTGCTCACCATCTTAATCTATGTCCGCACTCCCAGCGGCCATAGGTTTCGCCGACCCTTCTCTGGATCGGGTCTCCTTGTGACGCGTCTGCATTTCATGTCCGGGCAGCCTTGCTCACATCCATGGCACTCGTGTGGGACAAGCTCTCAGCCCACACCCTTCCTTGTTTCTTCCCAGGGTTTCCGCTTGACGCCTCTGACTAGCTGTTTTACCACCCGTTACACCACGCTTCTACCACTCTCATGACGTGACCTTTGACGAGACGCTCCCCTACTACTGGCGCTTCCCGCACCGCAGCACTCGTGTGCCTCCTCCTCCTCTCTTCCTCGTCCCTACCTGCCTGCTGCACCCCTCCCACCCCGTCCGACCCAATCTGGTGTCTCCCACACCACTCAGTTCCCCTCGGTTGGGCCTGTCGGGGAGTCGGCTGACTCTGGGGGCCAGCTACTGGGGGCGCGCATGCTATCCTTGTGGCGCCTCCCCCAGCCTCGGTACCCCAAGCACCTCAGCCGCCTCCCCACGTGCCTCAGCAGCAGCAGCAGTAGTCATAGCAGACTCAGCGGCCGCAGCAGCAGCAGCAGCTAAGAGCAATGGGCTCTGGGGTGCTGCTTCTAGGAGTGCTGGTTCTGAGGGTGCTGGTGTTGGAGGTGTTGGTGTTGGGGGTGCTGGTTCTGGGGGTGTAAGTTCTAGGGTTGCTGACTCTGGGGGACTGGTTATGTGGGTGGTGCGTCTGGGGGTGCTGTTTCGGGAGTGCCGGTGGTAGCCGAGGTGCCGCTGGAGGTCCTGGCAAGGACAGGGAGCAGCAGGAGCCTTAGCAGTAGCAGCAGATGCAGCAGCAGGAGCAGCCGCAATCTACCTTCGTCTCCTTTGTCTTGCTCCCTGTTCCCCTGATCGACTGCCTGTCCCTCTTGAGGTGCGTGCCCCTGTTTACGGCTCACTTTTCCCCTCCCCGGACTCCTCTCCGGCACGTTTTCCATGGCGCTCTTCTTCGTCCCCTGACTTGTCCCCCTTCCCCCTTGTCCCCAGTCCTCAGTTCTTCCCCACTATGTCCGTCATCCCTCTGGTGCTCATCCTAGTCCTAGTTTCCACCCTATGGTCGTTTGTTCTCGTGCTTCTCCAGTCCCCGTGCTTGCATTACCTCCTCCGTCATCGCTCCTGCAGTCTTCTACTCCTCCCTTTGACTCTGCTCGCAATGCTTGTCTTACCCTATCGCGCTTGCTTGCGCCGCTTGTTACTGAGACTTTCTCTGCGCTTGTTGCTGCTGTCGCTGACTTTGCTGCTAGCCACTGCCTTGAATATGCTGCCGCTCTGGTCTCTAGTACTGCATGTTCTCCTTCCGTCGAGGGTGCCTTGCCATTGGTAGTGACGTGCTTGATGACAGGTAGTACGAGCTGGCCTATAGTACCTTACTGCCATTGTACCCGACCTTTGCTCCATGCTTGTATCCTAGAGGGCGACCCAGACGGCCCTCGATATCCCTATCCCGCGCTCTTACGCTGAGGCGGTGTCGGGGCCCTAGCAGCCCAGTGGATACATGCCATGGAGGCTAAGATGGCATTCTTACAGATCCACAAGCACTTACGTCGGCACAGTTCCCCCGCCTGGGGCGAACGTGGTCGATGACATGTGGATCTACAGGGTGAAGTGTGCACCTGGAGAGCCGCTGAAGTTCAAGACACGGTACATGGGTAGAGGCTTCAGTCAGCCAGAGGGTGTGGACTTCTTCCATAACTTCTCCCCTGCCCGAAGATTACTCTTTGGGTGCTCCTCCACCTAGCCGTGCAGCGTGACTACGAGATTCACTGACTCAACTTCTCCACAGCCTTCTTGGAGTGTAGTTTGCACGAGCAGATCTACCTCTGTCGCCCTCTAGGCTTCTCTGGGTCCTTCCCACCTGGGACCTAGTGAAGCCTGCTCCGCCCTGTTTACGGCCTTCGTCAGGCACTCCGTCAGTGGCACGTCACACTTCCCACCACACTTGCGGAGCTATAGTTCTTCCCGTCCTCCGCTGACCCTTCTCTCTTTGTTCACACGGGTCAGACCCCGTTCTACATCTTAGTGCACGTAGACGATCTTATATTTGCTACTCTTGACAGAGATTCAGTGGCCTCAGTGAAGGCCGAGTTACTTAGGAGGCACACTTGTACGGACCTGGGAGAGCTGAGGCACTATCTGGGCTTGGAGATCTCTCTTAATCATGTCGCTTGCACGATCACACTCTCCTAGCCCCATATGGTGCTGCAGATCCTTCAGAGTTTAGTCTCCCATTCTCCTCTGTACAGCCCACTCCTCTGCATGTGGATCACAAGCTCTCTGCTCCTGTTGCAGATGAGCCGGTAGAGGCTAGTGGTTCATACGCAGAGCTGGTGGTAGCCTCATGTAGCTGATGACCTGCATAGGACCGGATCTCGTGCACCCTCTTAGTCTCCTTGCTCGCTTCGTGGTGATAGGCAGGCACCAACCAGTCCATTGGTTGGATGTCAAGAGGGTAATGCCGTATCTGTTGAGTATACCAAGACTCGGAGCTTGTGTTAGGAGGACGGGAGCTAGTGGTCCTTACTAGACACACATACGCGTCGTGTGCTGATGACTTGGAGGCGCTCTGGTCATCTCAGGGCTACTGTTTTAGTCTTGGTGTGGGTGCAGTCTCATGGAGGTCCACTAGGTTGTCGTCAGTAGCTCAATCCAGCTATGAGGCAGAGATCTACGCTGGGGCCATGGCCGCCCAGGAGCTCCATTGGCTGTCGTTCTTGCTCACTGACTTAGGTGAGCCACCTAGGTCTACCCTAGTCCTGTTTGCTGACAACAGGGCCATGATCCTCCTGTGTCAGGAGGCTCGGCTTGAGGGCAGGGCGAAGCACATGCAACTGTGGTACTTCCTGTTGCGTGAGTTGCAGAAGTGCGGTCAGATTCATGTGGTACAGTTGGCCATAGGCTAACATCGCTGATATCTTCACCAAGGCACTTGTGCCTTGTGACCATCAACAGTTCTGTACTCAGCTTGGTCTAGTCTCAGTAGCAGCACCATTGCTTGTATCCTGAGTCATACTATACCTGCTTGTACTTGTTGTTCTATACATGCTTGTCTTGCTACACTTGCAAACTGGCCTTGTGGCCTCTTTTTTCAGTGCTTAGAATAGTAGTGCTGCCCTAGTGTACTCTTCCTTGTTATGAACCGCCACTATCTAGGCTAGGGGTTGTGTCAAGAAATATACTTATATAGGTTAGCTATGCAATATTTGTTATAGCCTTAGTTAGGTCATTTCTTGAAGGGTACAGCCCTACTCTAGTACCCCTCGACATTTCTCCCCTAGTCAACTTCTCTCGACAATCTAACACTTACTGCATATTCGCTATCTTGGTAACATTAATCGATAATTACCTACAGCCACATCTGTGTTCATAGTGCAAGCGTGCCGAAAGCCACTAATTTTTTTCCACAAAATGGTGGATCAGTCGTGGTCTAACGTTATGACTCCTGAACAAAGGGCAACAGCACTCAAAGAAGTCCGTCTCACTCACGAATTGTATCAGCAAGAGTTGACGCGTTTGCGAGCCGAAATGGCCCAAGCTAAATCTGACACGACCCGATACGATCCCACCAACGACAAGCCAAGGACAACCGGAACAAGTAACCCAACAACTTTCTGAAATACCGGGCGACTATCAACGACCACATGCAGCCTCGCCCGAGAGGTTCGACGAACAACCCCGCCACCGACTATTGGACGATTGGAAGTTGGCTAAGGGGCGAACATCAACCTGCTGCCCCCACTTACCATCAGCCATCATTTTGGATCGTGATACGAAATTCACCAGCAACTTCTGGCGCAACATGTGGGACTAGTTTGGTATGCGCCTACAGTTCTCCTCTGCCTATCACCCCCGAAACTGACGGTCAGACCGAGCGAGCCAATCACACAATGGAGCAGCTGATTTGCGCCACTTGCGATGACGTGGCCGACTGGGAGCAGCAACTGCCACTGATTGAGTTCGCGTATAACAACGCCTTGTCTCCACTACCCCACAGTCACCGTTTTATCTGAATTACGGGCAAAACCCTACATTACCCATCACGCCAAACGTCGACAATCCTGTAACACGAGCCCAACAGTATGCCAAAATTTTACAGAATGCCTAAGAGCGAGCAGCAGAAGCCATTAAGCGCGCAAACGTTATTTAAAAGTGTAACGTTGGTCTACACCGAAGACTTAATACTGCTCGATACTCAGAACCTTTGACTACCCAACGTCCCAAAACTTCGCCCCCGCTAGTACGGACCATTTACAATCAGCTACATGATGTCTTCCGTTACCGCCCATCTACTGCTACCAGCCACCTGGAACGTCAGCCCATCATTTCACATGCGGCTGTTATGGCCATACATCGCCAGCACCAGTAAATTACCACGTCATCAGGCCAACACAACATCTGACCACTCGCCGAACCTACTGTCGAACCTGTGAAGATTCTCAGCCATCAGATCAAGGACCCTCGAGGGGCTCGCGTGATCGAGTTTCTGATATCCTGGAAGGACCGTACGCCCCTCGAAAACAACTAGGTGCCCCTGGCACAGATCAAGAATTACCCAAGGCTACAAGTCTATCTCCAGTCACCCAATGTGCGCGACGTCGGTGGTCTTAGCTAAGGCCATACCTTGGAGGGGGGAGGGTGTAAGGAAATGGTATTTCCTTATTACGGGTTTTAGTTAGTGTTACGATAAGGAATCTGTTGCATTCCTGAAAGTGACACTTGAGCCGTAACCCTTGTCGAGTCCAAGCTTATGACGCAAAGCACAAAGTGCAATGGTGATTGACCGTTGACCGACAGTCAAACCAATAGGAGTCCAAGGGTCCGTCACGACAGCAAGGACACATAACTGACCCTGTAATACAGCGTAGGCAGAGTCGTGTACAGTTACTCGAGTCGGATCTGGAACCTCAAAGGGAATGTACCCCTGTTAAGTGCATCTTAGTTAGACCCTTCGCATTCTCTTGTATCACTATATAAACCTTGTATCCCTTTGCTATTATCAACACTGTTATGCTACACTCACTCGGACAGGGTTCATCGACCAATCAATCGCTTCCGCAAAGCGCACTTCTGCAGCTCAATCCTGAAGATCCTACGGACTGTATTGGATCGCTTCATGGTAAACAGAGCCTATCTGGTGTTTTTACACACGACACTCTTGATCAATTTCAAATTCATCATGGCGCCAGTGACTCACTTCCCCCACAGAATGTCCTCAGGCTCGAAATCACAAGGGCAAGGAAGCCCTCCTCCCAAAGCACCTGCAAACACTCTGAATCCGGCGGCAATGACATCCGTCCCCACATGACTCCTTGAAATATTACTCCAGTGAAGGACAACTCTTGAAGATGGACTTCAATCTCTTGAGATCGATGGCTTGAGCACCGCTCGCCAAACCACTGAAATGCAACCAGCCTCTGCAAACAAGGACTCCACTCCTGGCTTCTTCAACTTCGACGCTTCCAACACGCAACCACCTGCAAGCATACGATTAAGTGACGAAGCCCTGCGAACAGCACAATCAAAGTTCTTCGCTGTTTCTAAGATCAGAACAAGCTCAATCTTCGACGGTCGCGATTTCTACACCTGGAGTTTCGAGTTTGGGCTACTACTGCAGAGCACTCAAATCTTTGGCTATTTCGGCAGATCTTACCCCGGATCGACGATCAACACCGAGGACGCAAAACAGCGATAATACAACGAATCGCTCATGGCATACATTGTCCTTTTATGGAACTTATCCGCTTCCGAGCGACTTGGAATTCGATCGTTCAAAACACGGGCCGCTCCGGCACAAGTTTCTTGGCTGTACCTGACAAATCTCTATCAGACAAAGGACTCCATGTCGTCGAGTCGACTACTCGGCCAGCTACTAGAAGTGAAGATGGTCTAAGGAGAGAAGGCAAACACTTACTTAAATCGTCGCCGAAGCATCCACGACCAGATATGTTCGTGACAAACGTGCTTGCTGGGCTTACCCCTGAATGGCGACCATGCAAGGCTCTACTACACCGGCAGGGCAAAATTTCCGAAGCGACCCTTTGCGTGACGCTGCTGGCTGAGCAGCAGGATATGGATAGAGACAAGAAGAGAGCCCCGTGCAAAGAAAGGCTTGCCTTCTACTCGAGCCAGAAGGAGCCTCGCCGCGAGACGCCCAGTCGCCGTTACATTTGCAAGCTCTGCAAAACCTTCGGACACTCTACTGAGCGCTGCCAAAACCAAGCAGGAAGCATCGCGAGACCATCCTACATGCCCAAGTCCAGGAGACTTTGCCCCGCCTATAACGGCCTACAACTACAACAACCCCTACAATGAACACGGCAACTATGAGATCGATGAGGAGGCGTTGGAATGGAATCTGTGAGGAGGAGGAGATGCGAGCCAACCGCGAAGCTTGGCAAAATGAGTTCGAGCGAGTAACTCGACTTGCCGGCGCACAGCACAAAACGACAACAGCGACGACGCAGTGGTCGCTGTAGTTTTTCGAGGCTCCGAAGCAGCGCCCACCCAAGCCGTTCGATCCGAGCGATCGGAATTCTAACGTCCGCAGATGGATCGCCATCATGGAGATCTACTTCGCAGCCGTCAGATGGAGCTCGCCGGTCTGGGACGGGCAGCACATGTGACTCGCGGTGACACTAATGCGAGGGCTAGCACTCGAGTGGATCGGCAGCAACAGTACGTTCATCCAAGGCGAAGCCACGTGGCAGCAGTTCCGCACCGACCTGCTGAAACATTTCGAGTCGATGAATTCCGCTTTCCTTGCCCGGGAAAAAAATCATTGCCATCGACAGTTTGGGTGTGTAGCGCAGTACACGCAGCAGATAAATGAATTTTATAACTGAATTCCCGACCTGACTGAAGGGGAAAAAATATAGCCATACATCACCGGGCTGAAGACCGAAGTCAAACGACAAGTAGCAGCGACAAATTACGCGAGCTACAACGACGTCCTATCGGCAGTGGAGCGGTTTGACATGGTCAACGTTGGAACACGACGGGCGAATGTCGACAGTACGCGACAGGGTGACTGCTCGGCACACCCCACGTTCGCCGACCCGATGGAAATCGACAGGTTCGACGAGCGGCCACGTCCGAAAAACGCCAACTTCAGCGCGATTTTTGCGGACTGCCGAGTCATCGAATCTTCGGCTGCAACAAAATGAAAGCCGCACGTATAGAGTATTGGGTGAGCAAAAGTGGTGCAAAAAAAAAAAAAAACAAACAAACAAACAAGAATCGCCAGTGATTGCGGATCTAGCTAGCAAAAAAGAAAATATAAAAAAAAACGGCCGTGGGATTCCATAAAAATCAACTTTGACGAAGCTGATTCGATGCTTGCAGGAGGAAATGATGAGGTGGAATCTCCACACCACGACAAGTCTTCGCCAGGGAAAATCGTCGAGAAACAATCTGATGCCGCAAAAAAATACTCTGCCGAGACGGGGAAACTCCTAGAAGACCCAAGAAATGAAAAGAACTCGTTAAAGGTATCTTATAAAGATGCTTTAATGAAAACTTATGATTCTCGAGGGGCCGATGCCTTGGAGAAAATTTGGGAGGGACTCCAGAAGAAGCCAAGAAATTGTGGAGATTGTACCGGTATCGGAGAACTTAAGGAAAAAATTAAGGAGTGTGGAAAGAAGCCGACCTTTCCACGGAGTCAACGTCCTCTCCCGACACTAGCCCACAGCGACTATATGCTCCCCAGGGAAGATGTCGGTGGCTGAAGCAGCTCAAGAGGAAGCTGGGGTCCTACAAGAAGCAACAAAGGCCCCGAACTCCTCCTTCGGATGCATCCTGCTCAGCAACTGCGGCATCGATGACACCCACAGTAGTCAAGGAAACTCCGGGCCTTGGAGAAGAGCCTTTCTCCAAGCAGTCTCGGCCAGCTGCCAGCTCAAAAGAAAATAGCAAAGAGAAGGTGTGTACGGAATATAAGGATGTACCTTATGCTCCCATTAATAAAACTACCTTTGGGTACTCCGAGCAATGCCTGCCTCTCGTGCTCGAGGTCATCTGCAAAGGACGACGCCTCCAAGCACTTGTGGATAGTGGAGCGTCACACACCATATGTGACAAGGCAGCAATCGACCGACTTCGGGAGGAGAGCAAGCCTTCAGCATTTTTTTCAACTATGATGGACGGCAGCAAGTTAACCAGTCTATGGCGAAGCAGTGTTACACCTACAAATCAGACCACTGCACTGAAAACCTGCCCTCCCCATCACCAAGATGGCCGACATGAAGAAACAGATCGAGTATCTCCTTGAAAAAGGACTCGTCCGCTCATCCACTTCACCATACGGTGCCCCAGTACTCTTCACACCGAAACTGGACGGAAGCCTGCGAATGTGCATCGATTATCGAGCTCTCAACAAGCAGACCCGATTCCACGAATCGATGACCTGCTTGACCAGCTTCAGGGAGCCACTGTATTTTCCAAACTGGATTTGCGGTCCGGATACTGGCAGATAAGAATGACGGATAACTCTATCCACAAAACTGCCTTACGAACTCGGTACGGATCGTGCGAGTATCTGGTAATGCCGTTTCGGACTCAAGGCACCGGCAACCTTCCAAGCTGAGATGAACCACATTCTGCGCCCACTCTTGGATGAATGCATAGTGGTGTGCCTGGACGACATCCTCCTCTATTCGTGCGACATGAAGCAACGCGTCAAACACCTGTGACGCGCCTTCAAGATTCTTCGACGAGAACGCGTCTACGTCTCATTATCCAAGAGCGAATGTGCCCTCAAGAAGGTCCAATTCCTATACCCATGGTGAACGCTCAAGGGGTTCACGTCGACCCCAAGAAGATCGAAGTCGTACGCATGCGGGAAGACACCCGAGAACATCAAGGCGTTGCAGCAGTTCTAGGCTTCACCAACTAGTACAACAGGTTCTTGTCAGAATAAGCGAAAATTGCCGCACCACTAACGAATCTGCTGAAAAGAACACACCCTATCAATGGGAGTCACACATCAAGAAGTCGTGGAGCAGCTGAAACAAGCACTCACGTCCCACACTCGTCCTCATCTTGCCAGGCCATGAACGCAAACTATGTCATCGAAGCTGATGCTAGTGACCAGGTAGTGGGAGCACTCTTAATGCAATACCAGGGGGATGGACTGCAACCAATCGCCTACCTCAGCAAGAAAATGCACGAGGCAGAGCTCAATTACCCGATACACGACAAAAAGGCACTTGCTATTGTCATCGCCTTCAAAACGTGGAGATGTTATCTCGAAGGACGAAGAACAACCGTCTACACCGACCACTGCAGCCTGAAATATTTGAAGACACAGCCAAACCTTTCCAGGCGGCAGTTCCGGTGGATTGACTTCCTCGAGACACACTTCCACTACGAAATCGTGTATAAGCCCGACCACAAAAACAAAGCACACACTCTCAACCGGCCTGCACACAGTGCCGCTATCCAGGTCGAAGGGATGAATCCATTACTCAAAAGATTCTTCACAAACGGGTACACCATCGACCCCGAAATTCCCTTGGCAGAGTAGCGGCATCTGCTACAGTGGGACAGTGGCATCGCGTACCGGAAAGGCTCAACGAAAAATTGGGTACCCAATAACCCGCCTTCGCGCCAATTACTACTCGAAGAATACCATAATGTCCTGTACGTCGGACATTTCGGTAGTAACAGGACGCTCTCCGGTGTTGCAAAGCACTACTACTGGCCTCATATGGCAGGCGGCGTACAAACATTTGTCACCTTGTGCAACACATGTCAGTGGATGAAGAGCAGCAAGCAGAAAAAAATAGGACTGCTACAGCCTCTTCCTGTCCCAGAATAACCATGGCAAGTGGTTAGCCTGGACTTCATAACCGGTTACCTACTACCACAAGCGGTCATAACGCAATCCTTGTCGTCATCGACAAATTCTCCAAATTGGGACACTTCATCTGGCACACACGACAGCACGCACCGAGGAGACAATACAATTGTTTGTTTGCTACATCATCTCAAAGCATGGCATTCCAACCACACTCATCTCCGACCGAGACCCTAAGTTCACCAGCAAGTTCTGGAAGGAACTAATGTATCTGCTCGGGACCAAACTCGCCATGTTATCCGCATACCATCCACTGACTGACTGACTGACCGAACGTCTCAACCAAATTGTAGAGCAACTCTTCCGCGCAGTGTGAAAGGACGATGTCTCTAAATGGGACTTGCATCTGCCCGTCCTGGAGTTTGCCTACAATAGCGCCACTCACGCTGCTACTAGACAAACGTCGTCTTTCCTCTGTTACAAAAACAACCCACTCACCCCACTAAAACTGACAGCACCAGGGTCCAACCTGCACACGACTTCATCACCACCATGCATCGGCTTTGGGATCGGACCCACAAGCGCCTACTTGATATTCAGCAGCAACAAAAGTGCCAGGCCGATCGCCACCGCAATGGCCACACCATCACCATGGGAGAACGTGTCCTACTCAAGACCCGCAATCTCGACATCAGCCATCTCCCATCCAAACGTCGACCTCGCTTCTGCAGACCCTTCCTCGTTGAAGCGTAAGTCACCCCCGTTACCTTCCGTTTACGCCTGCTAGCAACCTGGAAGATCCCGCCTTCCATGTCCAACTTCTGAAGCCCTACAGAGATCCCCACACGATCTTCACTAGTCGCCAACCGCCGCTGCCACCGCCCATCCTCGTCCATGATGAACTTGAGTACGAGGTCGAGTCTCTGCTTGCACACCGACAACGTCAGCATGGCACCTTGGAGCTTCTCATCCGTTGGATGGGTTATGATCCTTCTGAAGATTGCTGGGTCCCTGAATCGGACATGGGTAGCGCCCGTCGTCCTTTTCACCTTGTCAAGCACGACGTAACTTCTACCACCCAACTTTGAGGGCAGGAAGTGCGAGAGTATGACCCCGTTACACTTACTTCTCATTACTATATTCTTCTCTATCTCATTCTCCTTTCTATCCAGATTCATTTGGTCTTTAGCTCATCTCATTTGGCTTCCTAGTCCTCATTTTTCATTATCCTTTGGTTTATCCTGTTATTATAATTTTATAACCAACCAGGCTCGGGATGTACTGGCACGCTATATCTAGCGTAATCCTGCCGTAATCCCTAAAAGCCAATAGCCTCGCTTGGTTATCCATAGGGTGATTCTATTTCTAGAAGGGCCTAATCCATTTGGATAGGATAAACCTGGTTACCTGATGTACCTTGGAAGTATAAAAGCGCCTTGTATCGATCGATAGTGCAACTTTCCCTCGACCATTTCGATCCTGTGACAGAATCTTCCCGTTCCCTTGTTGGAGCCAACACCCAACATCACCAATGCATTGTTCAGAGGAGACAGACAAGACTGGGACAGCTTCCCAAGAGACCATCTCATGCATAAGTCAAACCGACCTTACCTCAGGATCGCAATGATCACGTGCAACATTCGCGACAACTACAACGCCCAGTACCTGTACAGTTGTTGCAGACAGCACATGGTCGGATTGGCGCACTTCATCTCCAATGTCGTCCCAACTCCCGCTGCAGCCTACGTCACCGCACCCAACAACGAAAGGCTGGTGGCCATGCACCAAGGAATAGCCGTCCTCCAAGCACGCAACACTCTAACACACATCACTCTGAATGGCATGCTCATCGTTCACAATCTACGCTACAACCTCCTCTCAACGGCTCAGCTGATGTCTTGCGGTGTTGAAATCAGCACCAAACCTCAGACACGGCACCTCCTACTACACTACCGCAAGCCGAGTCAGCCCAAAGAACTAGTGAACCCACCTTGGTACTTCGGCAGGGCCGTAGCAGTCGACGGAGTCTATGTACTAGACTTCGACATCTCCAACTGCAATTATTACAGGATCGAATGCGCTATGCTTAGTGCGAGAGAGAATGTAACTTTAAAATGGTCGTACATGAAGTTTCACATGGAAGGCATTGTGAATCCTCCATGTGGTAAGGAGTTTAAGGCGGAAGATTAAAGGAGTAACCTGTGCCTCAACGATAAAGGGTCCATAGAATCAAGGCCGAAGCTGTTACAGATACATGATTTAGCAGAAGCTTGAATGAATGACTAATCCAAGAATTGAATGTATACAAGCAAAGAGCCAATGCTGTTTATACCTACGAGAACTATGGGAAGGGTAACTAGGACCTTCTAAGAGAGTTCAAGAAATAAATGGAACCGTCCGTAGGAACACCATCTAGAAGCACGGTAGGGATTCTAAAGATGCGGTGGCGGTGGCGGTGATGGAACACTCCACGCAATAGAAAACGTGTCACGCAAAGAAAGTCTGAAACACTCTAACACATATGATATACCAGTAGAATATATCATGTGTAGGGGAAGAGTGTAGGGATTTCCAGAAAAGGAAAAAACCCACAAAATAACACTCAATAAATAGCAAATACAGAATGGTTGTGATCAAGAATTTGGCAAGCCTCATCCTCTCACACTTACCCCTCCTCAAAACTGGGTAGACGATGAAAGCGCCTAGTTTTTCAGCAAATACTAAGGGTTGTAAGGCTAAAAGTAGTCAAAGAAAATCAATCCAACAAAGTTGTGCTTGAACAGCAGCTCCTCTATACTTTATTTCACACATTCGTAGGCCTGTGCAAGTGTAGGTAGCAGGTATCCGATGTTGAAGTATTGGGACGTGTGATGCTCCAACTGAGGTTGTAGAGTAGCGTAGCGAATGGCGATAAGTCTGTGCCTGAGTCGCGGTCAGTAGAATTCAGCTGCTTCTTGTGGTCAAGAAACCACCAAGCGTTCAAGGTTGACGTAGCAGTCATGTACCGGTCCGTACCTGCCATAACGCTGTAACTGATGCATGCCGTTGCGAAGAGAATTGTTGCCAAGTGATTGTAGTAGAACGACATCACCATGCTCATCGGTGGAGCACACATCCATGGTCGTGGCCGAGGAAATACGGGGATTTCTGTGCTCAACCCATGTGAATCCTCTTCCATTTCCAATAGGTTGTTGGTGACGATGACGGTGACTCCAGTATTCCTCATGCATGTCCATTTTAGCACGGGTTCTATCAATTGGCCTTGGTGTGTAGATGCACGTATAAGTGTAGGTCCATTGGGTTGTCATGTGTCGTCGTCATGTTATAGTAATAGCTTTGATGACGTTGATGTCATTTCAGCTACTCAGCATTGATATTGAATCTGCTCCAGTTCTGCTTGTAGGGGTGCCATTAGAGTAATGCGGATTCCTCTATTCAAAGTGGCCTCGGCACTCTGGGTCACCCTATCCGCTTCCATGGAGGTGATGTTGTTGATGGATTTGTTGGTGACGCCGGTTTTATGACTCAGTTGAAAGTCATAGGGCCATGAGGACTCGAATATCGTCGTAGTCCTCCCATCCTCATTAGAGTCTCTTTTCTCTGAGTTCTCGAGGGCATGTGGCATAACCACGTTGGTCCATAGCGTAGTGATATCTCCATCCCACAAGCAGGAAATCATAGATGTAGTGCCAGGCCAGGTCTTGTAATCATGCTTGAATAAGATCCAATGTCATCTCCATTGCTTGGATGAATATCAATCAGGGTTGGTTGTTGCTGTAGTTGTCTGCTGCGATGGCGGCGGCAGCGGTAGACACTCGCAGCGACAGCTGCTGCAGAGGATGCTCGTAACTCGTAACGGCTTGAAGAAGAATCCGTCCGCTCCCTCTTCCGTGTAGGTCTTCCTGATGGGTGTAATAGTTGTAACTACCAGGGAGCACGTGTGTCTTGATGCACAGGTGCCACTCCATTGCTCCCGGTGGTTGGGTCGCTCGAGGGTATGAAGATTACATGCTTCTCCCCTCGTTGTATTCATGGGTAGCAATGGCCTGGTATGCTCATCCGTGCTCCCGATATGCGATCGAAGAGCGCGTAATTGTCTTGTTGCAATCTACATCTCCCTCATTGTCAACATCATCATGTT